ACGTCATGACCATAATGACCATTAGTCCAGAACCACCACAGCCTCTCACTGGGGTGTCCCTGCCCACCAGCAAGCAGCTGAGCCAATCAGGCAGGCAGGCAGGCAGGCAGAGTGGTTAGAGGTGATCAAGTAGACAGACCAGTGGTTAGGGGTGATCAGGTAGGCAGGCAAGTGGTTAGGGGTGATCAGGTAGGTAGGCAGAGGAGGTTTGGGGCAATAAGGCAGGCAGGCTGGTGAGCGGTTAGGAGCCAGCTGTCCCATATGGTGAGAGGAATGTCTGACTGCTGGCTGCAGAATCAGGCCTAAACCAGCAGTTGGAGATCCTCCGAGGGGTCCCAGATTGGAGAAAGTGCAGGCCAGGCTGAGGGACACTGGACCTCTAGTATCTACATAAAATGAGTAGAAGAATTATTGATTACTAGTAGCCCGGTGCACAAAAATTTGTGCACTCGGGGGGGGGGGTGTCCCTCAGTTATTAAACATTTATTGGCACAACATTGACCACATTGGTGGTGGTGGTGGTCTTGTCAGAATGTGTTATATTATGCAGATGAAAATATATTTAAACAGATTTGATGTAGATATTTTCAAAGATAGAAGAATTGTCCCTGTCAACTATTTTAGTTGATTCATATCTTCACTAATTGTCATCATTGCAAAGTTTTCAGTCCCCATATGGATTGCTAGATATAATAGGTCATGTGCTGTCCCTGTCCTTTGTTACCTTAAGGACTCTAGTTTTCCATTTATATGCTTAAGTACCAATCTTACCGGCTTAAAAATGTAAGCTGTTAACACTACCCTCTCTGTTCTGTATCCTTCCGATGAAAAGTGGAGTTGGGTTGCAGCACAGGAGAGAAATTCAGAAGGGGAATATTGCAGTAATGACTGCAGTAGGAGAAGAGGAAACCTATTTCCCTGGCCACAGGTGCTGGTGCCTTGGACCACAGGGCTGACAGTTCTCCGGGTGGCTGCAGCCTGGGACCTCTGGCCAGTACCTTATCCATCTCCTGGGCTGCAGCCAGCCCCAGGCGCTGGCGCCAGGACCAAAGGTGGGCGGCTTCTTCTTCTGGGGGCTTCTTCTTCTGTGCTTCCAGGGAGGGCAGTCAGTTATGTGAATATGTGTGTGCATGCAAACATAGGCGTGTACAC